TGTTGTGGCTTTATACATTGCCCAAGTAGAAAAGCAGTTGTTTATCCAATTTTTCCTTCAGGGACTCCACACACTTGAAACTAATAATGTATAAATACCATTACACATGGCAGGCATGATGTGCAAGGGAGTACGTCTGACCTGTTCTCGCCATGATCTACTACTCGAGCGAGAATCCTCGAAATATGTTTAATCTCCCAAAACTAAACAAATTTTTCCTTACAAATGTGTGTTCAAGTGATCGAAAAACAAAATTGCACGTTCACGCAAACCATCGCTGTATCGTTAACGATTGTACACGAGTAAGTAGGCGTGGGAAAAAAGTTAAGAAAAAGTAACAATAGACATACTAATATGCTAATAAAAGATATCATATATAGATTGAAAAGAGCGTAAGGTATGGCGGTGTGAGGGTCATGCATTTATTACCAAATTCCGCAGGTCCGACGCAGCATCATCGGGACGAGTCGCCCGCGAAAGGACACGTATGTAACATACACTTACAAGTGTGAAACATATATATATTTGTACGAGTGAGTGTTGAGGTAAGACACGCGCGTATCGCCCTTTTCTCCCCCTCTTGCAGCTCCTCTCGCTGAATATACGTACAATACTTGTATTGGCGGCAAAATAAGGCGCCCTCGAAACAATCCGTGGGTAAGTCTTATGTATACGGGCACGCGAACGCGCCACCGATGATGGGAGGAGAACAAACCTGTGCGGCCAAAGATCGCGCGGGAGTAGTGGACGAGCGAAGATGGAACAGATACTTAAAAGAGAGGGGGGGAAAAAAAAAAAAGAAAAAAGAAAAAAAAAGAAAAATGGTACTTTTGAGAAAACAAACACATTGGTTGACGATCAACGGTATAGAGATAGTTTATAACAAGAGCTTTCAGGGCCAACAAAATAATAATATTAATATTGCACGGCACGGGTATATATATATATATGTATATATGTGAGGTACCTTGCACTCGGCGAGGCGATCGAGGTACTTGGAAAAGGACCTCCGGGACGGTAGCGGCTGTTGTCCGTGGGGCACGAGGTGCAGACAGGACGAGTCGTAGGCGAGGATCAGCCGGCCGAGGAGGAGGACGGCCGTCCTCCTACTCATGCCTATGTGTGTGCCCAACGCGAGCCTTGGCGCTATCCACCGCGGCGACTGCGTGCGCGCCTATACACGACCGTCCTTCCCTCCTCTCTCCATGTATTTCTTTTCCTGCGTGCTTCGCCCGATAATGTATATTATATAATATATCCTTGGACGCGTGTGGTGCACAGTGGAGGTGTATCGGTGAATTGTGCTGGGACGGCGTCTCCGCGATGTCTGGCTCGGGGAAGAAGTGCAGACACGGGCCCGCCCGCGCTCGCGTGGACCGATGTATTATATAGGTATTACGGGGATGGTATAATACAAAATAGCGTGTAACAACCCAATACGCAGACTCGCGATGGGTGTTATTGGTCGGGAGATCCGAGTAGCTGCTAAGGGCGCACGCGCCCCGACCTCCATTATTATTATTATTATCATCATCGTCGTCGTCATTATTATTATAAGGTATACTTGTACATAATGTCACTGCAACGTACCGAGCTTGCACGAGCTTTCTCGCTGTAGCGGCTGGTGTGTCTTTTCTCGGCTACGTAGCAATTGGGCTCGATTACCACCATACACATACACCTATGTTTACCCGCATGTTGTACTCCATACGCAAGAAGATTGGGCTTTTCCAGTAGTACGAGGTCGGTTTTGGTAAGACGCTTTTTTGCTACACCACGAGAATTCTAGTCATTTTGGTCGCGGGATCCGTTGTTTTATTAAAATGATCACTCACCCGCTTTTTCCGGACCGGCAGTCAACGAAGCGCTCGAGGTTTTATGTAAGTTGCTCTCGAGATTTAAGAAAAAAAAAATATATATAGATAACGCGGTACCCAGACTGCAGACGTTGCGAGACTTACGCGCGATATCTGTTACTTATATAGTGTCAATGTTCTCTCGCGATCGGGATTTTTGCAATAATCGTCATAGGCGACGTGTTTACAATTCGTATAATCTTACATGCCGTTTTCCCAGATGCGGCTTTGTTTGGCAACGATTGTTGTAATGTTTGTTGTCGGTGATGATGACTAATTTGAAAAAAAAAAAAAAAAAACTCATTCTCGCCACTCAACATCAGAGAGATCGCGCGTCACGTGAATTCGTTCGACATGGATTATACACATTGCATTTGAAAGCATAAATCGGCACAAAAGGGAAATAAGTAGTGCAATCGGATACCCCCGTTGAAACCACGCGAGTGAACGCGATCGCGCGAATAGGCGCTTTCGTTGTACTAAGTATTGTCGAGTGTCCGGCTGTTATAATTCGGCGCTTTGGGCCGAAACTGAAGATCGCCGAGTGCTGTAAGCTATTTTTGGTCGACGAACCGCTCCCAACTGACTGATAGAGAGAGGGAGAAAACGAGAGTGACCGCTGTCGGATGAGATAATTAAAGTGCTTTTCGCCACGTTGTTCACTGAATTTTGGATTTATCGAGAGAGAAAGATGAACCCATTTAGATATTTGGGACTGGAATTCTATACTTTTTTTTAAAATTATTTTTGAGTAACGCATTTCTCATTATTTTTTATTTTCATGTGATTTTCATTTTTCAGTTATCTCGTGATCGAGGCCGATTTTTTTTCATCATTTAAATCTGGGACGCGGAAAAAGTTACTCGACCAGTCGAGGTATGAAATTTCATACGAACCGGTGTATTATTATTATTATTTTTTTTTTAAATTCATTTATTCATAAGAAAAAAAAAAAAAATTTATANAAAAAAAAAATTATAAGTTTCGATGTAAAGTGTGGCTCACGCACAATAAAGTTTTGCGCTGTGAAAATCAACGATACCTACACGTTTATTCGAGTGGACTTTAGCAAAATACATTATTTACATGAAACTTTATCTACCGGGTGCTTTTTACTTTGTCGTGGATTAATTATTTGTTATTTTTCTCTTTTTTAATATTAAAACGTGCAACTCACGCGCGAAACAAAACAAGCACTGGCCTGTATATTATTCCCCGTTTGCGTGTGTATCCGCGTGTATAAATCATATCGCGTCGACATCACGCACACGAGACCCAACAAAGAACCTCCGACGTATACATACTCGTGTAATGATCGCCGTAGCAGCACTTTTCCTCCTGGTTGCACTCGCGTCACGCAAAACACGAAATTCATTCGTCTCAAAGATAATTCATCTGTACAGCCCTACCCCAACTCCCGCTCGCAAGCTCAAACACCGCAGGGTGTGTACGTGCGTGCACTTGCGGATATCATCACGTGGATTTTACGTATTACATTGGAAGCAAAAGCTGAGAAAATACACCTCCGCGCGTTTACACCCAACTCTCGAGCAGCTTTTTTTTTTCTCCTCCCACCCCCCTTTCCTCCTCTGGGTTCTTTTAACACGAACAAAAATTTGCGTGCCCCCAATCCGGCGAGCTTTCGCGTAAACGTTCATTATTATGTTTTTCTTCCAACAATTAAACGCACGCGACCTCATTTTTGTTTCCTACCATTTTATTTGGACGCGTTTGTTTCGAAATCGAGTTTTTGTTGTATACTGTGCAATAAAGTAGGAGGGTTGGGTCGCCCAATGGTACATTTGATACGATTATTCGCGGAGTGGTCGTACAAGAGGGGGGCACATCGATCGTTGCCGTTTCTACGAGTTTTACGTAACGAAAATAACCGGAAATGAAGGAACACGTAAATGCAACTCGTGTGTTTGTTTGTTTATTTCAATTAATTACCAAAAAATTCAGAGTATCGCTCGGAAGCAAAAAGAGGGAAAGAATAATTCATGATTTTCGGCTCAACTACGTTGTGTGGGTATAACAACGAAAGCCAATGGGAGACAGGGCCGAATGTAGGTAAGTACGTATACGGAGCACAAAAAAGCTCCCTCTCGCCCTCGTCTTCCATCGCTCTCTAAATAAACGAGTTGTCTTCCATCGAAGCGAAACCCTCTTCGATCGTGCACATATGGATCTATCCGTCCATCCATGAAATACCAATGCATATAAGCTGGTCCTCGAAACTTTTTTGATTACCGCTTTTGATGACTTTTCTCGAGCCGAGAGTGCAAATGTTGATCGAGCCGATCCATCGATCGATGATTTAACATTTGGATCGAGCCTCGGATTTAAAAAAATTTTTCAACCTCCCCGCGATTACTCTATACGAATACATTTGTACCCGTACGTCCCATCTCGTATACAAAGTAAAACCTATCAAAAAAAAAAAAGAAAAGGCCTATAAAGTACACATCAGCATACGTTGAAGCTTCGCGACTCGCGCGCGTGTGCATCAGCTTGTACAAGACCTCTATTACACGTGTATACGTACGAAATTGCCTGTACGTTATAGCCACGCGGGGAATAGTGGGTCAGCGGGTGGCGGCGGCCGAAAATGAACTAAATCCGAGTATAGATGTATGTATAGGTATGCACATATCTGACCTGCCGAAAATCGCATAGCCTCGTCCGACCCCGCCGTTATATTTCCCGCAGTCGCCGAGGAACCCAACGGTGTAAAATCAAGAGAGACCCCCCCCAAGCGAGACTCGTGCAACGAAAATCCACGAGGACAGTAATTGTCAAGAGCATACCGATTATGTAGGTGCAAAAATGAGGAGGACCAACGGTAGCACCAGGAGCAGGAGGAGGTGTACGAACCACCAACACACACGTGTGTGTGTGTGTGTGTGTGTGTGTGTCCGGCACACTGCGAGCAAACACGGTGTGTACGTATACACGGTTGCGATCGATACAATCGTCGTTTCCTCGGCGACGGCGCGAGCATCGGGGAGAAAGAGAGAGAGAGAGAGAGAGAGAGCATACACATATACAACGACTCGAGTGGAGGGGCTTAAAGTCCGCAAGTACTGTATTTTCGAGAGCAGCGGCGGGGAACACTAGGGCCGCTGTCCCGCGTGTGCAGCCAGAGTCCCCGCAGTACGGCACAGCCGAGCCTCTCGCGTCCTTTCTCCTCCGGAGCTTGCAAGCTCTCTTTCTCTCCATCTCTCTCTCCCTCGAGCTGTCACTTTTTGGCACTTTTGGGTTTTTTTTCTTTTTCTTTTTTTTTTTTCTGCTTTCCCCTCCTCGGTTTCGTTCGTTCATCCGTATACAAACGAGCACGTGCTTACAGTCGTCACCTGCAGGGGACGAAGGACGGGATCGCTCATCTCTGGGCTTTGATTTTTGTGCTCGCAGACGGAGCCAAGGAGGCTCGAGTGGAAAGATCGGCTGGAGCTGCACGTGAACGCAAGTGAGAGCACAATACATCATGTTTTTGTTTTATATTTTTTGGTTTGCTTTGATGGGTACCGCATGCATGTACCTACGTACCTATACATTTTATACATAAGGTAGCATCGTATTGCACGTATAGCCTCTGGTCGCGACGGCACGTGCTGCACTGGGGACCGCAGCGCCGAGGATGTACACCTGTACAGATGAAATGTCGATTACTCGTGTTAAACTTTTTCCTTTTTTTTTTTTTATTCCCTTTCTTCTCAATACTTAAGGGCAAATATTTTCACGTTTTATAATCATACAGTATTTGATAATGATGTTATCATGTACATTTGATATTTTTCGTTGACAAATATTCATTGAGCGATTAGGCGTAAAAGTTGATCAATTCGTTAATATCGTTGGCCACATGTAGTTCGATATTGAAAGAAATAATAAAAATAATTGTACCAATTTTTACTCCCACAATGCGTCACTCGTCGTCTTCTTGACCAAATGTATTTTTTCTTTTTTTTTTTTTTTTTTTCACGCGAATAAAGTTAGTAGGTTACTGCAGTGTTATGTATAAATAAACGGAGAAATTAAAAACACGACATAAACATGGACAATATAAAGCGCGAGACAATTTGCATCGTGAAATTATGCATGTTTGTATCATATACGTGGTTACTTATATGTATACGTACGTATCACACGTGCAAAAGAAAAAAAATAAAATAAAAAAGTACAGGATCTGATGGCGCAGGGCATCCTACTTAATGTTAGGAGGTAAAAAACTGCGATATTGTACACCAAGAGCAGGGGGCTATCGGGTAAATTCGTTTTAAACGATCGGTTACGCTAATGGGGCTATTATAAGAGACAAGAGGATGGGGTGGCATCTCGTGCTAATATAAAGAGGGTCAAGTGAGAGCTTTATCAATTATTTTGCAATTTGGTACGCAACAGCTGCTTTGTTGGTGAGAATTTTTTCTTTTCAACAAACACTGAGAAGTATTTTTTTTTTTTTTGTCATATCGACGTTACATTTTCATGGAAAATAATTTTTAATAAAACGACTGAGATCCCTACGGCGAGGGGTAATCATGATTGCTGCAATAAACAAAACAAAAAAATTGATCGCTCGAGATAATCAGATAATGTTTTATTGGTAAGAAAATAAAAGAAAAACAAAAATGAAGCTCCGCGTAAAACCGTATGAAAGTGCAAATTCGACGACACGATTGTGTATACCAACAAAAGGCAACAAAGACGCTGGTTCTTGCTGCATGTGCACACAATATCAGTCGAAATCCAAGCAAAAACCCGTGCCCACGGATTTGAAACAGTAACTACACTAGTCGGTATTCCTTTGAGAGAGTCCTAATTTAAAATGTAAAAACCAGCTCTGCACGTCTTCCTGCCGCCTGTACTTATACTTGAAAACATAATAAGCCCGTACCTATAAATATTACGCAGACCAGGCGAATTTGAAACAATTCCCAAGCAACATTAATGCTAACTCGATCCTTCGTACCTCATCGTTCTCTTTACACTTGTCATTGGAAAAGCTCCTCTACTTATTCCCAGTCGTACGTGCGCACACAAATGTACAGCCGACACCTCGGCGAATGCATTGCTAAAGTTTGAAAATGCTTGCTAACAATTCGAAGGATCCCTCAAAGTCGCATGATCGTATTTAATGCACGGGCTACCAGTGTCTTTCCAATTAGTAAAAAAAAAATAAAATAAATAAATGATTCTCATAAAGATTCAGGCTTCAACGACGAGTGATGCGGGTGAGACGCGCGGTAGGCCGAGAGTCGAGGACCAGGTGACTCTGGCCCCGAGTCCCTCCTGCGGAGCATCATCGTCACCTTTGCCAAACCAACCATCAACGGGCACAGCAGCACCGGAGACGAGCGTTCTGGCGTCCGGGGACAATGGCCGTGCCGTGCGTAGCGAGCACCTCGGGGGAGCTCCGGGGGAAGCGGCCGCGACGACGATTGCAGCGACGGCGAAAACGTCGGCGGCGGAAATCCTGCCCAAGGGGGCCGAGCCTCGTCAATTGAAAACGAGAAAGGACCACGACGACTGTGATAAACCATCGGGGCTCGGAGGTACGGCTGGTGGTGGTGGTGCTCTGATGCTGTGGAGCGACATGCCCCCGCACCTGCAGTTCAATCCGCACATCATATCGGGCTACAGGCCCCTCATGAGCCCGGCCGAGTGCGTCGCCAGTATATTCCACCTGCACAATGAGACTGTTAATATTTTGACCCACGGTGAGTTACATCTAATGTTTTTCATCCAGTTTTTCGTTGCTTACACTTCATTTTCACTTTTTTACCTTTTAGTGGTGTACTTGATATTTTATTCGTTTGGGCGGCTTTTTCATTTCGTTGAGTACTTGATTGGTTTTTTTTTTTTTAATTTATTTTTGGCACCGTGCGTGTTTCGAGGGTACGAGGATGGCGATGTGTTGAGTATATTAAGTCAACAGTCGAGGGTAAAAGTCACGATCGTTGCCCCGTAGATTAATAGGTATACACCTAAACACTTATATGGCACGTCATATTTATGTACACGTACAATACCAAAGTTTGTGGTCAGAGATAATGTATAGGCCGGATGATTGACACTCCGGTGTCACGCGTTCGGGTTGATCGCATTACTCGTGACCCTTTTAATCCGTCCACCCGCGTTTTGGAGGCCATCGATTTGTGCTTTCGAGTAATCCGCTGCTGCTTGGGTTTTTTTTCTTCTTTCGAGCGCCGAAAAATAAAACAAACATCGCAATCGTTACCGCGATTTTGCACGTTTCGCGTGGAGCAGCCGTTAAAAAATTAGGTCAATCATATTCGGGAGGGAGACCATTACCAAGAGAACCTACTACCATAGGTACTTTTTTTTTTTTTTTTTTTTTTCTTATTTCTTTCAACCAAAATAAAACAATGAAAATTACACATGCTTCGTTTTTTTTTTTTTTTGCATTACAGAAATAAAAAAATATGTATATATATTTATACTATTGTAGTTTGTATGCAAAAACAATTGGCTTCGCAGCACATCAAACACTGCAGACATTAAACCTGATTCAATGAACCTTGGACTTTATTATTTTAATATTTGATCCATCATGTTCCAACCTTTGCATAATCATGCACGCGTTAAATAAGAAGGATATTATATACCTCTAAATAGATACGTACATGTGTGCACATTGTAAACTTGGACGTGATTTCTAGTGAACGTTTCTGTTATAATTTGATGTATACTTATATTTTTCGTGAGACAAAAAAAACCTATGATTTTATGTCTTCGTATTAGGTTGTGCCACATAATCAAAAAACACCTTCGGTCTATATGTTGGCAAATGTTTTCTTTATTATACATTGTACTGCAGTTCCAAAATAGAATAATAAAAAATACAGAACCGCGTACCTCGGGACGTCAAGAAGAATATTTCATAATTCATTGGTAATCGGTGTAAGGCAGAGAAATGAAAAAAAAAAAAAAAACTCTTTAATCAATTTCGTTCGACACGGGCGCTTTTCGATTCAATGTAATACCTTCCCTCGCCTCGTCACAACGAATAATATCAATAATTGTATAAAGTTGATTCTCGATTTCGTTTGTCCTAAATCCGCACCTCGTGCTTATTTTGGCATCGACTGAACGACGCGCGCGTACAAGTGTATATACTTACGCATTGGCTTTCACTAACGTAAGATTAAAGTACATGCATACCTTTACGTATATACCAAAAGCAAAAGAGTATCGAGACCATGAGAACAAGTACCGTGACGTTATAAATATAGGTGTATCTATTTTGTAACAATATGGAAAACAACTGTTCAATCGAGTTTCACTCGCAAGACTTGATTTGTTTATGAATTTTTTTTTTAACGAGAAAAACATGCAAATGAGGCACCTTGCAATCATCGTATATTAAGAGAAGAAAATAGAGAGAGAGAGAGAGAAATCACATAAAACACGACGACAGTAATTGAATTCCCGCACTCTCGTTCTCTCAAATCCACGCTGCCGTATAAATTTCACGTTCACGGCCGGGAGAGAATGCATGCATTGTTTGCCTCAACCTTCGTTTAAACAAGAGCAATGGCTGTATATACGCACACATTCAACTAATCCATTTAAAATAGCGATAAAAAAAAATAAATAAACAAAAGGACTTAGTTTTTACTACTTAATTTTGTTAAACGTCGTTACGTCATATCGGCGCACTCGCGTGTACAGGATTTTCGATTTGAGAGACTTACTGGCATATATTTTACTTTGTCGAAACGCTTCTCTTCTCATGTGAAATAATCTCGACCGGCACGTAACATAAATCCACTCGACGAAACACGTGGTCGCGAATTTCGTTCGAACCCCCATTTCTTCGGAAAAAAACCCTCAGCAGCCGAAAATTTTACGGGTAATCACTGATAAAAAAAAACCCGATTGCAAAAGAGCGCGCAGCTAACTCATAAATCGATGTGCATGAAAGAAGAGAAAAAAAAAAAAAAAAAAAAAAAAAAAAAGAGCGATTCCACGTGCCACCCCGTTGCACGGCCTATGAGTAAGGGGCGAGATAAACCCTGAGCTTGCAAGCGTATAAAACCGTGCCACCGCGAGGAAAAGCCAGAAGCTCGATAACCGACACCCGCGTACACGTGCACAAAAGAATCAAAGAAAGAAAAAAGAAGAAGGTGGTGGAAAAGATGAAATAGAGAAGAAAAAAAAAAGGGGGGGGGTGGCCAGTGTCGCCGGCGAGCGCGCTCTATCTATATTTACCCCGGAGCCTTGACATTGGCGGCCCGCGAGCTACCTTCTCTTTTAATATCTCTCGTTTGCTCTTCTCGCGGTTTCAACTCTCGCACTACATTTGTGTGTACGTGCCTATAGGGGGAGAGAGAGGAACAGATGAAAAAACTGGCCATTGAAGTGATGTACTATCGATTTTTTTTTTTTTTTTTTTTATTGCGTTCTTCAATTGTACCGATACACAATGTATAGTGGTCACTTTGTTTTTTTCCTCTTTTGGATATCGGAATACGTGAGAAATATGAGGTCACCAGCCGAGCTTTTGAGCGAGACTTGTTAAATTAAAAAGAAAAAAAAACACGATTTATACCATATCCTCAGATCCGGAGTGAGGAACAATGGTCAGTTTTCAAAAACTTTCGTCCGAATCGATCGAGTCTGGAATGATTGGGGTGAAATAAAAAACGAAAATTTAATTTGTTCTCCAACACGTTCAGGGGATGATTTTTCGCGGAAAACTTCCACGTTTCAAGAGTATGAAAAAAAAAAAAAAAAAAAAAAAAAAAAAAAAAAAAGAATTAGAGTGATGATAGGTATACCTCACTGAAAAATACGTACTTGCAAAGCTAGTAAGGTACTGGTTGATGCAAAAACTTTTGATCGCTTTTTGTTACTACTGTCCGCAGTAATGTTCGGAAGNCGGTCCAAAAAAAAAAAAAAAAAAAAAAAAAAAAAAAAAAAAAAAAAAAAAAAAAATAGAAGATGAGTGATGGCCCTTGGTAGTGGAGGGGTGCGTAAATAAGCGCCTTTTCTCTCGCCTTCCCAGCGTATTATTATTGTATACCTAAAGCTCGCCAGTGGGACACATCCGGCACTTCTTCTCTTTTCTCTACGTATTAGGCGCACTGCTTTTCACTCTACCAAGGCCAAGGACGCTGCAGTACAAATGCAGTGCAGTACGCTCGCAGCCTCACATTATATATCATGCACTTGGATTATATAATACCTACAACTATAGACTAATCAAAATAATTCCCTCTCAATCGTGCATTTCTAGCCGCATTGGTTTTTCTCGTTTTATCGCTTCCTTTTTTTGCAAATCATTCGTCTATTATCCATTGAAAGGACTAAAACGAGGGCGTGCAGTATACGTATACGCGCTTCTGAAACGGGTTCAAGACCTCCGTCTGTCGCTTTTAAGTAATACAACGTACACCTAATAGCGAGAACGACAGTCGAGATTGTCTATTGTTTTTACTGTCGTCGGATGGTAGCAAAGCTTATACATTGGTTTTCAAAAAAACCATGTGAGCTGCGAAAAGGCTCTTGTAAAAAACAAGCTAATGGGGCTCCAATGTACCGAATATAAACAATTTTTAAAACATTTTACAAACGTTAGCGGCACAATGAAAGTTATTTATTTTGCTTGCAGGATTTGCCATTGTTTATATACTAGTGACAGTGCCGTTTTTACTTCCGTGGGGTTCGCGGGGCGCCCTCCCGGGCTTTTTGTCCTGGTGCCACCTAGTCGGCGCCGTGAGCCCGTGGATCGGCTCCTTTCTCTATCACGTCTTCATGAATCTCGAGCACGGCGAGGGCATATACCGATCCCTCCTCCAGATCGACATGCTCGGCATTTGGATTTGTCAGAGCTTTGGTGAGTTACACCGTTACCTACATAATTATACTGTACTAATTGACATTAAACGGTGCAATTTTTTTTTTTTTTTTTTTTTACCAATCTCACTCGGAACGAACCACTTTGCTCAACTCGAATCGTTCACGGATCCAAAGTCTTATTTGTTAATTCGGCTATTCGTTAAAACTTACAACTCACCGCCTGCATGTTCACGCAATGTTCATCAAGGTAACACTAAAAAAAACTCTTTACCCGTCACGTGAATGATAATTCCATCTAAAAATCCAAGGGACATAGCACTTCAGCACCGCGGATAGCTGCTCCAAGCCTCGTCTTTGCAACTGACTCCTGCAATATGAGGGATTGTCGTTATTATTCCCCGTGTTTTAACGCAAAATTTTTAAACGGCACTATATAGTAGATCACAATTAAAATAAATACCTTTGATCGCTGAATCGGGCTGCTTTTGTATGTGTTCATTAACAGAATTCGAGCCAACCACAGCAGTTAACGTCGTCCCGAAAATTTGTCGATATTCTCGTAATTTAACTGCAAAGAACATGCGACGATTAGAGTTGAGTCAATCAAGACAGTTTGGTTGAAACATGCACGCAACTTCAAGAAGTCACTATTGTTCCGTTCATCATAAAATGGTTAATGGAATTGATTTTATGTTTAGGAGCAATGCCACTGATAGCAGCGTCGGTACACTGTTTGCCAGACATACTTTGGCACTTGTGCATTAGTACTTATTGTTTTCTTAGCATTTGGGGCCTTTTTAAAGCAAGTACACGTCTTATATATGTATATACCTATCATACAACATAACATACTTAACTTAAAAAAAAAAAAAAAAAAAAAAATGCATTTTATGCACATTGAACGATATTAAAATGATCTATTTAATAATAAATAAAAAAAAATATATTAAGTTTTTACACAAATATAGAATAGAATTGTTCATTTGCACAGGCGATGAACGCTTCGTCACCATGGGAGAGGCGATTGTGCTTCTCGCCTCTCTTCATGATGCGCATGCTGGTCGTCGCGTGTAGATCATTCGGACTTGGCGGCGGCAATCCCGAAGCTTTCCTACACGTAGTGCTTCAGGTATGAATAGGTTTAAACTTTTATAATCATCTACTCTCACAAACCAGTATGAGGCTACAAAACTATCATACATTTCTTGGATTTGACACATAAAACAAGGACTAATTTTAATTTGCAAGTTCACTTTTACGTTTATTCAGTTTTTTTTCTACTCTACAAGAACACAAACTTAATGCCACACATTTATTACGTTTTCCACGTTCAGATGTACAATATTATTTTTATATTTTAAGGTACAAAACAGTTATCAATTTTCAACACAAACCGTTCAACAGGACATGTCTCTGAATAACGTAACAGACTTCTCGACACTTTATACAAAAATACTAAGTTTTTGAATATAAAATTAACTCTAATAAACGCAAAACAAATTCAGAAACCTTTACTTATAGAAGAGCACATCTAAAATTTGCCGAATAAGAATTAAGAACTGAAAAACTTTTGAAAATCCTTTCTTAAAACATCCACAAACTTCCAGGGCATGATTTACTTTAAAAAAATAGTCTGAGAAAGATCTCTTTCACATATGAAAATAACACAAATATAACAAGCATTTCCAAACAAATTTTAATCAGTAAAGCTGGAAATGCAGAAAATTATATTAACTTTTTTTTTAAAAACCTGTAAAAATAAAAAAAGGTTTGTCAACTAAACACAAATTAATGGAAAAAAAAAAATTTAAGTTCAGGTATTCATTACAGTAATAATTACTTTTAAATTTAAACTCAAAAAAGTTTGATACTCACAATTAACGTGTCTCCTCGTAGAGGTAAGGATTTGTGAATTAATATTTCTGGTGAAGCTTTTCATGTTGTTTGTAAAGTTCATAATACATTGCAAGATTTGTAGGTGTAACATACATACTGTATGCTACGGGTGTCATTGGTGCATTAGATACACCATCAGAACTATCATAAGAGTAACCAGCTGCATTATTTTCTGAGCCTTGAGAAGACTGATTAGGAAACAATGTATCAAGAGCCACAAAATTTGATGAGTCGTAACCCGTGGGCATTACTGGTAACTCATACTTGGGTGGATCTGGTTCCAGTGACGAGAGAGACACGCTCTTTTGAGGCTCCATTTTTGTAATTTCTTCTACAGCCCATTGTAGCTGGTTTATCTGATTGTGTGTTGTTGTAGACCCAGATGGTGTAGTCAAAGGTATTAGAGGAATAGAGTTTGGCTGTGCATTGACAGGTATTATACCAGTAGTATTCAATACGTGTGCTAGGCATGACGATTTGCAAGGTAATTTTTCCAGATTTTGATAAGGCTCCAGATTTGAATACTGCACATCTATGTTTGAATTATTATTCTCTAGTAGTAGATCTTCATAGTCATCGATGGTATACTGAGAAAACTTTGATCCTACTGGTGGTTCAACCTTCATCATTTTAAAGTAGTACAATGGATTCATGATATTTACTTTTTTTGCGCCATTGGGTGTCATCACATCAACATACCAGAAATAGTCTGTAGTATCTAAATATGGGCCGTACACTGTCATCTTGCTGTTGAATAATAATACCTTACAGTTATTTGACATAATCATAGTTTTTTTATGATTAACTTAGAATGTTTCATATCGATTTGCTACGATAAAGTATGAAGGAAGCTTTTGGAAAGAAAAAGATAACCAATTGTTATGTTTTATGTGTTAACGAAGTATAAATTAATATAAGCTTTGTCACAATATAAAAAAATTGAAGAAATAAAAAAAAAATACATGCATGCAGTAGTATGTATGTGTTGAAGAATTTGATGAGGTGTAACTTCCAAATGGCGGGTGCCTAGACCGGAACTGGAAGCTACGATGTTATAAGTTATACATAAAAATACCCTTCCGAGGGCCCGCGTTTTCGAATATGTCCTTGAAAAAACACGCTATTTGCAAGAAAATTTGCAAAACAGTGTCTTTATAAGGTAATAAAAATAACGAGAGACGTCTAACCTTGTATGCAACGTGAAAGCTTTTTACTTAAACGTAATGGATTTTCTCTTGCTAACGAAAAAAAAAAAGTACTTCCATTTCCAAAACTACCGTTACAAACCTTTTTTTCCTCGCAACGTTGATGACAATAAAAAGAGTTTCTTTGTAGTACTACCGTGGAAACTTCTCGAAACTTCAACGGTTACCGGCCGGTTGATGAACCGTCGATTAAGCAATAATAATATGCATATATTTAATGTTCGATGGGATGTTAAAAGACAGCACTTATAACTAAAATGTGCAAAGATTACTCTTTTTACATACACTTATTATGTTTTCTAAAGCAAAGAGTAAAATATTAGTTATGACTGTTACTCTACGTATAACGTGTATAGTATATAAGTATACTTATATACTTAGGCTCGAGTCTCGACACGTCGACACGACACACACACTAGACAAGTGACGTTAGAGATCGCAGCTGTACGAAACGCGCGCGATGTTTACAACAATTACAATACATAAACAAAAGTAACAAAAGCTACTAGCATATTGATAAATATAGGTAATAGGTACTTATGTATGAGCCACATAATGGCCACATCTTGATCCAAAAAAATCCACCGATTTACCTACCGTTTCACTTTGGGGGGGAATGAATTAAAATAATATATATATATTTTCTTTTTTGTTTCTCCGTGGCATTACTGGATAAATGTCATACTTAGTTTGAATAAGTGGCAACATTCTTTTCAACTTGAACGAATAATGTTCCTCATAATGTAACGTGAAAAAAAAAAAAAAAAAGTCCCACAGCACGATGTAAGTGTATAATATTATATCCTTGACGAATGGGTTGCAGGACCTAGTAGCCGTGATCGGTGGTACGATCGGCGCGATGAGAGTGCCCGAAAAGTGGATGCCAGGCAGGCTGGACCTGCTCTTCAATTCGCACAACATAATGCACGTGATGGTCGTCCTGGCGGTCTGCTCGATGCGCTCGGCCACCCTACAGGACCTCGCTTGGATGAGCCAACCTGGTGTGTGCAGTTCCACCGGTTCAGCGTCGTTATCCACCGCAGCAACTGTGCAACATCACGAGGATCTCTGAACGAAACGCGTTTACATCATTTTACTGCAGCTGCCTTTCTAAAAAAAATATTTAAGTATACCTATATACTTACACATACGTACACATCGTTTGTTATATAATACCGATCGATGCCGAAACAATTGTCATAGTTATAATATACGGTAAGCGGAAAATCATTGAAACGAGAGTAGGAATTAAGTGAGGATGTGTACGTGTATATTATATATATATATATATATAGGTACGTGTAAAAATAATAATAATAATAATAATATATCATGACATGTGACCGGTATGGAATTCAAATAAGAGAGTTTCCGTTTTATTAGCGACAAGACAATATTGTATTGTATATTGTACACAAGTGTATACTTATATAAGGGTTGAAACTAATACCAAAACTAACTCACGAGTATTAAATAGATATAAATAAGTAAACAAGCTTTGATTCTGTTGGGAGCTGTACCTATACATGCACATAATAATATGTATACAGCAAGTAAAACGATCCTTCTTCTGATACCGATTTTTTCCTCCTTGTATAACTGTATGTATTATACATACATACGTATTAAATGATTTCGCTGCATAATTTAATGATCCGCGCGTTTATCCAGTTTATTTATTTAACATTATATATATATATATAAACATGCACCCTCCGACCTCTTTGGTTACAAATACACGTATTTATCAAACACCTATACACTTCGTTAGTAATTGCGACAAAAAAAAGTAAAAAGCTCATTTCTCTCCTCAGCGGATCTTGATGATGATGGTGATGATATATTATTTAGATACATAAAAATTGTTAAATATTATATTACTTACTACACACAGATTTAAATATATATTCCCAGAGAGTCTTGTATTGAGACGTTAATGATATGAAAGGATAATATATATATATAGTATGCATTACAGAAACACGTGATTCAGAGGAATGGCTTTTATGTGATAAATTTACAACTATGAAAGAGAGAGAGAGAGAGAGAGAGAAGAAAAAGTGAAAGCTGAGAAAGTAAGTATGCGAATAGACATATTTACTTGTTCTCGACTTTGTCGTTGTCGTTGACTTTTTCGATATTGCAATTATTAATGATACTTATACTGTACTCTCAGCGACTCTCAGTCATGAAATGGGGAATGGCAACTTCTCTACATACATAGGATACATGTATATAAATACAAATACATTTTCCATCCACTAATCGACCGTGGTGTGGAATGTTTAGACTGATTAGAAAAAAAAATTTATTGAACGATAAAGTTTACGGTTGCACATAGTTAGTCATTTTTTTTTTCGTTCTCCAAAAAAATACAACACCAAACAGCACGAAAATTGTTAAAACTTTTTTTTTCCATCGATTAAAATGGCCTTGACGCGCGTAGAATATGTATACGTACATTTGTATATTAATGTCATCGCGCAAGTATTTTTACAAAATGGAAAATTTCATATCTCCCATGCCGAAGTTGCCATTTGTGTATATTCCCTGATGTATTTTTATGTACACCTATATAATTTTAGCCCCCCCCTTTTTTTTTTTTTTTTTGGGGATGCATAATCAAGAGTATATTGTTATCCATCCGCTACAATAAAAATAGGTAAATGCTTAGGCGACAATAGGATACAAATCATATTTTTAGGTTTTCAATGCTTCTTCTTTTCAAGGCCATTGGGACAATTGTTTATCAATTTAGCGTCATTAGTTCTAAGTTTCGGTCGATGAATATATTCTAAAAGAATAGTTGTAATTTTTAGATACGTAAAAATGCACTTATGCATTAAAAAAAAAAAAATACATAAATAAAGCAATGACTAATAACAAATATTAACATAATAAATTTAATGAAGCAATTTATCGAAAGATCCTTTTCTTTCATTATAGTCATTTTACTGTTGTTTGGGAGTCAAAAGTTTTATCTATATGGGCAATTATCGAAAACTTGTGTAACGTTTTATTTAGTTATATTAATGATAAAAAAAAAAAAAACAAACAAACAAAAAAAACACAAGTAGACACATATATAATTGAGTGTAGTATGTAAAAATAATTTTAATAATCAAAGAGCTTATCAATATTTTGATGATAAAAAGAGTAAAATTTATTTTAGTTACTCAAATTTACTCGGTTCGTCTGCTGCTGTACCTGAATTAAAAAGTAAGTATAATTTCTGCGTAAGATTAATTAGTCTCATAAAAATATAAAAGTGTCTTCAACAAGATCGAGTTAACGATTTATGAACTACAAACCAATTGCATATACACGTTTGCAATGTGTTATTTAAATTAATTATGTGATGAATTTATGGTTCACTAATACTGAAATTCTCGTTGAAAACCTGTAATTGTAATTGATGAATAAAAAAAATAAAATGTCAATTCGATGATAAAATGTACCTTAAAAATTGGATATTGTACCGCATATTATTTCTCTTCAATTATTTTGAGTGAATTCGACAAAGTTTTATAAGTATACTTGTTTTTAAAAAGTTTCTATACTCTGGTATCGTTTAATAAATAAAAATAAATTGATTTCTTGTACCTACATCAGATTTTATCTGAAAAAATGAAATATGTAAACATGCAATGAAAAAAAATAAAAACAATAAATGATCGATACTCCATAAATATTTTCAACAATCCATGTAAATCCCAATTACCACTATGGATAAAAATATAAGAAAAATTTTTTATTTATCGTGTTTATTATTCTGTTGTTAAAGGAGGAAGGAAGAAAGAAGAACCTTGACTACAACAAAAATAAATTTATTGTTACAGTGTAACGACAAAAATCTTTGAAATCGAATTCTTACGGCTTTGACGTGGAATTAATTATTTGATAACAAACAAGATATACACAACAATTCGCTCTCGTAAATATTTTGCTACGTCTACATTTTATGTAGAAATTAATACATTGGTAAAAACTAAAATTCCAAAATTTCTGTCAACGTTAAATACTATGAAAAAGCTGTAAAATGTGTCGAAAAAGTGCATTTTTTAAAGATCTAGAGTTAACAGAGAAAATGTTTTTTCGAAATTATTCGTATATGCATATTTACAGTTGATTTTACTATATTTACAAATCATTTAACTATTGCAAAATACTTAAAAGGTTGAAAATAAATCTATTGCAGAGGAAACTCACTCTCCTGGGTGTAACTTTTGACTCGACTAAAACGAAACGACGGATACCTGCCTCCAAGACTTAAGTTTGTCGGGATTTCTTGTCCATTGATATATTTCGTATAAATGACGTAGCACAACCAAGTTAACTGAGAATTCGCACGTTTACGATATTTTTGGATCTCAAATTCCTGTAAAAAAAGTTATGGATCATAAAGTATGCTTGCTAAAATTTTTAATACTAATCAACTTACAATGTTAAATGTTTGTTCACCACTATCGTGCACCAATTCGTTGCGTTTGCGTCTACGATTCATGAAATTCATAGAATTATTTTTGGTCTCCTGACGTTTTAAAACGAGAGTTACACAATTATCATGCAGCCTATAGTGTCCAACCAGCACAGAAGTATTACGAGGATTGCGACTTTTTAAGGAACTAACACATGACTGTGCGTCATCAGTTGAGGTAAGCATCAAAACTTTGCCTTCAGGAAAAAATCTACAAACAACATTCATTAATAAAACATCAATTGTATAAAAAAAAAAAAATTAATTTTAATGGCACAAAGCATTATACCTTAAATATCGAAAGTATTCAACAAGATGCCAAGGCTTGTACAACTGATCTTGAAAGCTATTCTCTCCAGGTCTAATGTAGGTTGTCTTGCTAATATAACAGCCGTTGAAACGCAATCTTGGTCGTTGCAAGTACATATCACGCCACGATGTGTATTCTGGTTCATATCTACCACAGTTGACACCCCAGACACGAGCACAGGCTGCTCTCCATATTTCTGTGTCACGAGTGCAGACATACAATCCCCGGCAGACCCGTGAAATCATCTCTAAACTTCTAATATCTAACTCCGACGATACCACCCATCTTAAAATGTATATAACAATTTCCATGGGAAGAGATGAAATGTGAGTATCCTATACGAATTGTACAAATTAATCCACTAAAGTTCATACAAGTAGGTTGCAATGATCTAAAAAAATAACTTACACTCTGCTGATACATTGGACAGCAAACGTAACCATTTTTCTGAACAATTCTCGATAATTTCATTAATATATCATCAATGTCTTGATCGTCATCTTGATCTGTATCTTTAGATTCAACAACTCTATCCTCGTAACTGACTTCAACATCTTCCTGATCAATTTTTTCAAAAAAGTTTGATTTCGTTGACTCATAGAAACGAAATTCTATATCTGGTACAAGTTGGACAGCTTTCTTGTAGAATTGTATGGCTTCGTAGAGTTTTCCTGACTGTTCATTTTTCACGCCTTGCAAAAAAAAGTTTTCTGCCTGTACAATCAATTCATTAAATATTATTCATTATTTTTACAGTTGCAAAATGTAAAAAAAATTTTATCTTTACTTTCGTTTCTATGCTCTGATCCTCCAATTCTTGAGCTTGCGTGTCTGCTCTACCATCATTTTCTTGAGCACTTATTAGAGAGCGATTGGTATGTTTGGGAGAGATTTCTAGTTCTCTTTGCCATTGCTCTCTAAAAGATTTCAGTGGATCTGAATACTCAGAATCTTGCAAAGAAGAATTTTCTTGGTCTTCATCTCCACCTCCTTCACTGCTAGATTCACCAGAGCAACTCTATAAATGAATAAATAATATATATATATAATAAACCTATTGCTATATTATAAGTGCAAGAATAGAAAATTGCAAAAATTAATAGATAAAACAAAACAAGAAATGACGAAAAAAAAACTATTATCTCGACACTATAAACTTTGTTGATTTGTTTAAAGGAATCATATAAGCAAAACTATGACATATTTTCATCGATGAAGATATAAAAGTCAAATAGGTAAGTAAATGACAATATACACACGTATGAACATGCAATTACGCAAATAACTTGTAAGTACGGCGCGTAAGAAATCCACTAACTCAGCAAACACTCAGTTGCTTAAAAACAAAAGTCAATTCCTGCTCTTGCATTAAAAACAAAACAGCAAACTTCAATTTTTTGAAAAAAATATTAAAAAATAAACAAACCATTCCGTTGGGTTGCTGATGCAACAACAATCGAGGAGGTTATGTCTATCCAGTTTAGCAGACAGAAAATGATGCAGCTTTGAATTCCTGGGGAAACAGCTGTATGGACACACAAAAAACCTTTCTCAAGGACTCACCATTAAAAAACACACTTTCAAGCACTCGTTAGTGTCCCATTTTACATCAGCGCACAAATTCTCGGTCGGAAAATCGCAGGACGGATCCAAAACGGTGTCGAGCCAGTTCAGCGGCCGCCATGATTCTACTATACAATCGTATGTAAACACTGTAAAGTAGTGTTAGTCGGTGTACTTGTCATACTTGTCAATTTTTTATGTATATTAAGTATATACCTATGCATTCTCACACTACTGCAGACTGCAGCACTGCCACAGATAGTCACACACTAGTCACCAAAAGTCACTTTTAAATCACCTTGTCTTTTGTCAAGGGCAAATAATACAATTAAATGTATTGAACTTACATGAAACGTATTATTATATTTGTATTATACGCACGATAAAAGGCAGATAACACACAAAGAGTTCGTCATCACTGGTAATCTCAGCTACTGAAGCCAACAGATTCTTACTATTCTCAAATTGTTTTCTTTATCAAGGCCATCTCCCATGTTTTAAATAATTAATGATAATTTTTTATTTTCATACAACTTTACAACATGATTTATGTTGGTAGAACCAAACAGCTGACTTCACGGAGAGTTCAAAATCGCTTAGTTCGAAAAATCTCGGCTTCCCACGACAACAACAGAGCAACATTTTTTTTATCTTTAACTACAGGTACCCGTTAGATTAACTTGTAAAAATGTTATTTAGTAGCTTTAAACAATTATTATTTATTGTTACAGACAATAAGTATGGCTAACCCTCGTATTTTTTTTTTTTTTAAGCAATTAAGAGAGCTAGTATACACATATGACGTTGAGATGTACACAATAAAGCAAAAGGTGATGAAACTCCGAATGGTCCCCTTGCCTACACAAGTATAGGTAAGTACACGCACTTTTTTTCTTTTCCCCCTTCACTTCACAAATAACAAAACTGACACCTATATGATGTTGTGTCACACGCAAAATTTTACTAGCCTTTCACAAACGCCTATAGCACGCGGAGTCATTCCTTTTGTTAAGTACTGCTTCGTACATCACCCGTAGATTTTTTTCATTTTATTGTTTTTCCCCATGTGATATGTACAATATAGTATACAGGTATACCGCGCGATCGTGAGCACAAAAAGCATCACCCGTTTGAAAATTCATTTGATAAAAAACGCTGTTTCATCGGTCGCGTTATCAATGTCGAACGCCCGATTAAGACGCACGCAACTTCTCATCCCCAATGTACGCGAAGGCATATTAAATACATATCGTTTTAACGCAATAATCATACGTGTGTAGGTACTTGTACACGCATGATCATCGTGAGCCCGAAAAATCATCATCCCGAGTTTCGCCATCCCCTGTATATTACACCACGAAATAAACCTTTTTTTTTTTTTTTTTTTTTGTTTTGTTACCATGTAGGTGCGAAGTGCAACCGCAACCCACACGGTGATGACGACTCGAGATTAAATGGTCTCTCATCTTTATGTATGTACGAGCGCAATACATGTATAATATATATAATACTTTTTCACCGAGAGACGATGGGAGAGAAAAACTTTCTAGGAAAAATGGCATAATGGCGCAAGCGACCACAATGGAAAAACCGAGTTCTCGGCTCGTTAAAGTGAAGCATCAGCCCGTGCGCGCGTCTCTCGCTGCGTCAACTATGTTGATGCGATTTGGAAAATAACCCCCTTGCACGTAGTATACAAAGATTAGACGATGATGAGTATTTTACCCGAGCACGTACACCTAAATGATCTTGAGCGCCTTTGGTCCCAATCGAACGCTCACTGTTTTTCGAATTTTTCCTTTGTCGTTCGACGCGTTTTAATTGCCCCCCCCCCCCTCCGTCTGAGCTGCCGTTAAGGGTCGTGGCTTTTCTCGTTTTTGCACCGCACGCGTTTCAACGCAAACACCGGTCGTACTTATTTCGCGGTTTCATCAGTTATATATACAATGTGTACCATACACGTATAATATATACCTACATATTCATAACGTATATTGTTGGTCCGATCGATTACTCGTACTCCCCATCAACGGCGATGATCGATCGATGTGTGATGGCCTCCGGCCGGTTGATTAATTATACGGGACGCAACTGTCGCGCAAACACGAGGGGGGAGGGGTACCACTGTCGAAAGTGACAAAACGCCGGTGATTTTTCAAAGTCTCATGTTTTAGAAAGTCGGTTTTTAAATCAATTCGTCAAAAGGTGGGTGCGTCGATCCAAAAATTTTGCGGGATCACGGCTATACGTGTGTGTGTGTCCCACCCCCTCATATGGGGAGGGGGAAAAAAAGGGTCGTCGTGGCTTAATCGATGCGACGTTGTCATTGAAACGTCATTTTGCGGTGAAATTACTCACGAAAACGCGCCGAGTATTTCGCGCAAACAATTTCTTTTTCCTCCGAACGAATGCGCGAGTTCGTAATGTGTACCTACTTACGCGCACGCACATTCCGAACTTTCGTTCTCGACGACGCGGAATATTGTACTGAAATTTATCTATGATTATTTATTATTATTACTATTATTTTATTTTCTTTTTTTTTCTTTTTTTACGTCCGTAGTATGCAGTGCAACGTAAGCGCGTTGACACAACGAGTCGCTAATTTAACGTGTAATGTCCGCGTTGTATGGCTTTTTAGGTGTGTATCCTCGCAATTGGTATTCGGAGGAAAGTTTTCGAGCGAGTAAAGCAAGCAATGCATACATTATACTCTACTGGTATGGGGATTCATAACTCGAGAGAGGCTCGTCGATGCTGCTGTCGCTCATCGTTAAACTTTTCGCTTTCGGGCAGCGCTTATTGCTTATACGTACTTTTAGGAAGTATAAATGTCAAGTGACTCTTTTACCGTGGGTATACTATACATGATTACGAAACGAAGATACAAGCCTTTTTTTCATCATTATTTTTCTACTTACGAGTATACGCTTGTGAGGAGGTATTAATTTTTCATGATTAAGGAATTCACGTGGCGGTAATTTGTGCTTGACAATGTATACCTAAATTGAGAGAATAAGAAGAAAAAAAAAAAACGGGCAGAAAATATGAAGACTTTCGTGAGAAGGATGACACAGTCTTTTCTTTCCTTTTGTGTGATTAATTTCAGAATTTAAAAAATATCGACTCAAAGTTTGAGCGGAGTGTATTTATCTTGTGGTTGAGAAATAATGTCAAACGGGGCTGAGATGATTCTTATTTATACGTAACAGAGGTATCCTTTTTTTGCGTCACCCCCGTCTGATATGCTCTTTTTTTTTTCATTTTACTCGGGTACTGGGATTTTTAATCGATGACTACATTTTCCTTTTCTTTTTTCTCCATGAAATGCCGCATTGACTCTAATCAGACCGTCAAGAGTCACGTACATGTTTGAGTGCGCGTTGTGCGTTTTAATTGTTGTTAATTCATTAAAAATGTACAAACTACGAAAAATTCCAGTCACATTTATCCCTAACAAAGCAAAAAAAATTTTTAATTTAACTTGAGGTCGTTGCTATATAATTGTAAACTCGTCGAGTAAACGGTATTTGTTGCGGTCAAGCGAAACGCTGAGATCTTTTAATAAAACTGTTCGGGAAATCACAGAGACAAATTGATTTGTTGAAAACAAAACGATAACTATGTAAGTTTTTGCGGTTTGAAATTAACTAACAAATTAAAAAGAGAAGGTATAGTTTGAACGGAAAGAATATATACAGATGTACAAACAAATACGAAACGTGTATCAATATACTGTACTGAATTTGAACAAAAATATGCAAAGAAGTGATAATGAATGAAGTAAAGGTTTAAAACTTCACGTTTGTCGTGAACATCAGTGATCGGTCACGTGTCGGTGATCCTTTCGAGATTTGCGCTCAGCAATGCATGCGTTTCATAAAGTCACAGAGTCAATATTGCATTTAAGGATTCAATTAGTATTTTATTGATTCGAAAGTTACAAGGCGAGCCTCGATCGATAAATCACGCGGATGTTCATCCCATCGAGTTGTGGCGAGGCTCGATAAATTTAAATAATACTTTGTACGATTTCTCGAATTCATCCAATCGACGCGATTGTAAATTCCAAGCTTTTTTATTTTTTTTTTTCTCCATCCGTCGAGTAGGATTTTTACATTCATGAGCTGGTATCGTCCGAAAAGCCATAAATGCGAAAAAAAAGGAGCAGTCGGAATAAATCACAACAAGCATTAATACGAACATCCACTTTTTTTTTTTTTTTTTTTTTTAAATACACCTGCGATACAGTATAATATATGCACCAAGTTGTAAATGTATGGAGCAAAACTTGCTTAAATCACGCAATTATTTATTTAATTAATTCCTTAATAAGCCCGCATTATCTCGATTCGTGTGTTTCTGTACATAAGGTACATTATACTCGAGAAAACACTTTCTTTTTTTTTTTTTTTTTCAGCGAGACACGCCTCTACACGAGACCGCGCGAATTTCATTCCCAAAGTTGCAATAGTGCCGATTAAAATATATATATGTATACTCCTTTTGGGAGACAAAAAAAAAAAAAGGAAAATAATAATCATCAACTTTAATAGAGTGATAAATTCGTACGAGCGAAATCGCGCGCAATGCGCAAAACACAAAGGAATGATTTATCTATGGGATATGGCACGAGCCGTGAAAGCTAAATTTTGTTTTTTCTTCCTATACAATGAAACGCACGTTAGAGACCCACACATTTATCACATTTTTCGTGAATTCCGAGATTCCTTGGGTACGATGAAGAAAAAAAAGGGGGTCGGTTTGATCATCGATATCACCTTCGTCCCACTTAGTAGGAAAACGCCAAACTGCAAACTATCGGCAATCACATATACGTACACGGCACGGCAGCGCGAATCGGCCACGAAAGTGCAACCGATCACTTGTCCCTCGCTTCTTCTTCTTCTCGAAGGGGGAAAAAAAAATCTTTTCTCAGAGTTTCACCAAACGAAGAGAGGGAGGGAGGGAGAAAAACAGAAAGTCACGAGAGCCACGAAGAAATTGCCGTTACGTAAGGTTTGAGAACGAAAGCTGCCCCCCCGTTGCCAAGGGGGGGGGGGAAACGACGACGATCGATGCATTGTTTACACACGGAGCATCGACGCGCGGCTCGTCCAATTATACCCGTCCGTCTGTCTGTCCGTGCGCGCGAACGTGGAGGTATACCAACGTATGTACAAGATCGCGATTGCCTGATTGTTTGCCACCAAACGTACGTATACTTGCGTAGGCGTAGAGCGGCCCGATCGAGTCCGTCAGGTACATCATCACAATACGGGACCATACGGGTGTCTCACCGATAACGGTCCGATGGTGATTAATGTATCGGGGGAAGGGGGGGAGAGAAAAAAATAAAAAATATCGAGAGGGGATGACAGGTGGTCCGATCGATTAACAACGATCGGCAATCGATGATCCATCGATCGGCCACTTTATAAAATAGTATTTTTCGAACGTCCCGATTGTGTGTGGTTCTGACATAGGTATACACGTATAGTATATTATGCACTTGAGTGATGTGTTTCGTAACGCTATTATTGCAGGGATTGTTTCTTTTTTTTTTTTTTTTCGCTATCCCGACTCGTGCCTCTTTTCGCGCATTTCAAACGTCAACGATTACGATGGCCGTTACGATAACTGATGTACATATACCTCATTGTATGGAATGTTCCTTACAATACGTGTCATTATGTTCACGTGTACGTACCGATCCGACGATTTCGCACGACGATCGGGAGAGAAAGAAAGAGAGACGCACGTCTCAATTTGACAATTATTCCGATCCGTCGTCCGCCGATCGAGCAAACATCCATCACGATCGTTTGCGGCGCGTATACATATATATATGTACAATTGCCCCCCTATAAACTGCCGCGACTCTGATATACCTTCTTCTTCTCTCGTTTTCTTATTTTACCTAAGCAATGCTACGCGCAGCTATACATATACCTATGTATACATGTGTGTGGGTAAGTGCGACCGGTGGATCATCCAAATACAGTTGTTTTACATACCGCGATTATGGCGTACTTGTTGTACACCTACACACCATATTAACCCTCGCGTACATAATATCCCTGTAATCGAATATCGCGATGGCAATTCATATCGTTTTTTTTTTTTTTTTTTTATAAATTTGCAGTAGCGTTACATCGTATAGCCAGTTTATCCAAGCGAACGCATCATCCGAGTCGCAAAGTAATTATAAATATATATATATGCACTTGGCTTCACCTGCAGACCTTGCACCCGACCTCACCGAGATTAATTCGTGTATTGCTCGTGACCCATCTTTTAAATACAATCAAAACGCGGCGCGTATATATATGACAACGACAACCGGTCGGGCGTACCGGAAAAGGGAAAAAAAAGGCACACTCGCGCGTCACCCACTTACTTACGATATACTTCGATTAGAGAGTGTACATCACTTAGGGTTTACGGTATATTGTCGATCCCATCTCACGCGTGTCCCTAATATACACACAGGTATCATCGTTAAAACCGGAAGTGCTCCAAAGGCCCCCCCCTCGAGCGATCCCGATCTCGAAGCTACCGTTGGGGGGGGGGGGGAAACCGCACCTCTTGGCCCGCGAAGTTTGTTGGTAACGGAGGAGACGATGATGATCCTTGGGGGGGGGGGGGAGAGGACGAGCCATGTGCACGCGTGAGAGAAGGAGGTACCGATGCTCGCTCGAGAGAAAGAAAGAAAGAAAGGTCGGTCTTTTTGGGGTTGCGAGCGCGTGTGTGTGCCTACGAGGCGCGGTGCTGATTCCCGGTGGAGGAGCCCCCGAGAAAAAGAGAGAGCGGCAAGCCCAATCGCGTACATGCCTACCTGCCGATGGTGCCGCGGGACCTCCGTCGCTTCAAAGTGGAAGTAGTTGTCGGGTAAAAGCGAGGAGCAGCGGACGCGCCAGCCACAGACAGCATCATGCGCTCGGTGAGTACATTACGATATTGTCTCTCATGCACATCATGTGTGTATCAACTAACTATTGTCACATATATATAGATGTGTGTGTGTACACATATTACATACACGCGCCCTCGCTACTCTCTTTCTCCTCGGGTCGCGTGCACGTAAGACGTGATATTGTTGTATAGGTACACCGTGGGTGTACGCGCGCGAAAGCATCTTCCTTCTTCCTTATCCTATTTTTGCCGCTTGTACTTACTGCCGCAGCGTCGCCGTGTACATTTGCTGTGCTTTTTCTTTTTTCTCTCGCCGTGCGTGCGTTGCACTTGTAACCGCTGACGCGTAACTTTCTCCGTTGACTCTGCGCTTTGATCTTTTGTACCCGATGTGCCTCCTCGATCGATCAGTATTTCGATTTTTTCTTTTCAATCCATTTAAGGTTTTTTTTTTTTTTTTTTAATTTCATACAGAGCGATTTCTCGAGAAATGTATCAAGGTCGCGTGAAAAGTGTGCGTGTGCGCATCAATGTCGGCTCGTTTACCGAGTTTACCGAAACAGTGCAGTGCATATAAATGCACGTGTGCCGATTTCGCGGGCCCGTTTCATTCCCTTTCATTTCCTGCTCGGGATTGTTAATCCGCGATCTCTTTTCGTTCTTTTGCTTTAGATGCACAATTTTATACCTTTTTTGTTTCCTCTCTTTACGTTAGCGTTCAATTTTGATGCGTCGGCAACTTTTTCCCAATCATACCGATAACGATCCCAGAGTTGTGTTAATTCGTGCAGCCCCCCATTATTATTATTATTATTATTTTTCGTTGAAATATATATTTTATACGCCCGTCCTTTGACAAAAAATGGTAAATCCTCAGCATGGACAACAACATTCCTATACAACCCCATACAAATATGCGTGGTCATAAATATATTACTGGTGATTTCCAATGCATGACAATGATCTTCGAATGAACGCGCATAGCAGCAGCGACATATTGTGTTGGAGTATAAGTGTACATTTTCATAGGCACGTCCTCCCGCGTTGTTGTCCGCCTCGACGTGCACGAGTATATATATATATATATGTGTGTGTTATGTATACCCATGTACGTGTGTGTACCGGACATTTAAGTGCGCGATCCGCGGAAAAGTGACAGTGAGTGATATTTTACCAGCTAAGCGGCCAAACAAAAGCGATTTAGAAAGCCCATAGGGTATACATATATGTGTATGGGCTCCTCTCCGCTCCGCTAATAGGTATACATGCGGTAGAAAGCGTCGTCGCGACTGTTTTTGTCCGGGGATCGATGGGTTGCGGGTCCGGCGATTTTACACGTCTCTCCCTGCGTGTGTGTGGTGCATACAGAGGGAGAGGAAAAGGAGCTACGGAAACACCAGTGCCCGGTGATAAGGGAGTGCGTGAACCAACCACGGGGAGGGGGGGGGGTCGGTTAGAACAAGAGGATCGCTTTGGGAAAGTCACCGGTAGGCTTTGGGTTATCGAGGTATGGCTAGAATGATTGGCTCTGCCTGTAAATTAATGCCATGAGAAAGCGCTAAAACGTTCAAGTTCTCCTTGACGATCACTTAACTTTTTTTTTTTTTTTTTTTTTTTTTTTTTTTTTCTCCCCAAGTGTGACTGCATGGGTCGCGCGATTCGGGGGATTTGACGATCAAAGTGGCGATGAAACATCGTTAGCAGCGGGAAAGTTGGCCAATCAAAAGTATGCGTGATCCCAAGGACCGTCTTCGTCGCTTTACTTCCAACGTATGTGTATACGTATAAATGTCAGTCGTTTATTCGTACGATCGTTAGATAATCGAAAGCACATCGTGAGGTGATTTCATAGGTATCAGCGATCATAAATGTGTCGAGAATATAATGTACTTGTACATAATTGTGATTACGTTATACTCCCTAGATTGTTGGATTTTCGCGATGTAATCGTCAATGGTGTGTTAAGTAAAAGAAAAGATTTTCCAAAAAGAGACTCGATAGCAATATCCACTTAGCAACGTTATTTCATCGTGGATAATTTAAATTCTCTTGAGCATATATATGTATACATAATGATGTACCTGTAGTGAAGCGTAGCGTATAGAAAAATGAGACGCGCACCCAATGCTTATCGAGCGAAAGATTTTCTTGGGTCGTTCTTGTTCCGGTTGCACACAGATATGCACTTTCTCTCTTCGTCGTCGGTGCTGTTGAATACACGCGTACAGGGACCAAAAAGAGCAAGAGACAATGTCCCGCGTAATTGAAAAAGCGATTGCTATACTGCATCTGTGTATAAAGTGGAGCTACGGTAACGCTCCGTTATACCGGGATGTATATATATCTCGTCAATTTGGCCGCTTGGCAAATGACGTTTTGGAGATCGTTATTGCGATCGGCACCGGTTATTACCCGTTCCCTCCTCCTCGCCATCTCTCCATATCGTGCGAACTAATGCGTACTTTGAAATAAGATTACGTCCTTTTTTTTTTCTCCAAATAATCGAGTGATTTTTCAATAGCCCCTACACAAACGTGCTAAACGAAATTTAATAGTCCAAGCGTTAAAATTACAATCCATTACTTTTGAGTTGGTCATTTATGATTAAAAATTAAGTTACTACCACTGCACGTGCGTGCCTGTGTTATTAAGTGCGCGCTCGCTTAAACATCACTTTGAATTGCCGAGGAACTTTCAAATTCAGGTTTAATTACAGCCGCGGTCATCATCACCCATAATCTTCACACGATCGCATCCCTATTATGTGTTTTTTTTATTTTTATTTTTCGCTTCGGGTGATTATTAGAAAACCGGCCTGTCCGCCCGTTAGTGATCGATGATTCCTCGATAAATCGTTTGTTTTGACACACTATACGTATATTTTGTACATATATATACACTCGTTAACGACAAAATTGCGTGCTAGTACCTATCAAACGTTATACCTGTACTCGCACTGGATGAATTAATTAATCGACTTTCTTCCTGTCTAACTGATTAAAGTTTTTTTTTTTTTTTTTTTCAATTCAATTCAACGCCCACGTATGTTTTTGCAAATTGGGAAAATCGGCTTTTTATTTGACCGAGTGATTGATGTTCCTTCCTCCATCGCTACCTTCTTTGATGGGCGTCCTCCTTTTGCGGACGCGTGAGAAACTTTCTCACGTGTGTGCGATGAAAAAAAAAAAAAAAAAAGAAAGAAAAAAAAACGAATATATTACGTTGACCGATCGCCCACACGGATGCGAAAAAAAGCCAATGAACTCTTATTTTGACTAATTTTGTATACAGTCAATTTTAAGATTCCGCGCAGTAGATACAGCCGCGTGTAGTAAGACTATACTGTAGCTGTACATAACTGCCAGAGGGCTATGCTACATTTTGGATTTCCATTTGTTATAAACAAAAAAACAATTTGCAATTGTATTTTACTTAAAAAAACATACCTATTTTCTTTCAACATTACCTCCGACTTTGGCACACGAATTTTAATTCTTTGCGAAGTAGATGCAGCCGCGTGTGGTAAGACTATACTGTAGCTGTACATAACTGCCAGAGGGCTATGCTACATTTTGGATTTCCATTTGTTATAAACAAAAAAACAATTTGCAATTGTATTTTACTTAAAAAAACATACCTATTTTCTTTCAACATTACCTCCGACTTTGGCACACGAATTTTAATTCTTTGCGAAGTAGATGCAGCCGCGTGTGGTAAGACTATACTGTAGCTGTACATAACTGCCAGAGGGCTATGCTACATTTTGGATTTCCATTTGTTATAAACAAAAAAACAATTTGCAATTGTATTTTACTTAAAAAAACATACCTATTTTCTTTCAACATTACCTCCGACTTTGGCACACGAATTTTAATTCTTTGCGAAGTAGATGCAGCCGCGTGTGGTAAGACTATACTGTAGCTGTACATAACTGCCAGAGGGCTATGCTACATTTTGGATTTCCATTTGTTATAAACAAAAAAACAATTTGCAATTGTATTTTACTTAAAAAAACATACCTATTTTCTTTCAACATTACCTCCGACTTTGGCACACGAATTTTAATTCTTTGCGAAGTAGATGCAGCCGCGTGTGGTAAGACTATACTGTAGCTGTACATAACTGCCAGAGGGCTATGCTACATTTTGGATTTCCATTTGTTATAAACAAAAAAACAATTTGCAATTGTATTTTACTTAAAAAAACATACCTATTTTCTTTCAACATTACCTCCGACTTTGGCACACGAATTTAAAGATTTCGGGAAGTAGATGCATCCGTGTGAGGTAAGACTGTATTGTAGCTGTACATGACGGCCAGAGGGCTATGCTATATTTTGGATTTTCATTTATTAGTAAAAAAAAAAAAAAACAATTTACAATTGCATGCTTAATTAAAAGAAAAAAGTGATTACTTTCAAAATTGCTACCAGTTTTAATCGCATCGCGATTCAACGTGCTCTCGCTCCATGCACGCGTATGCAGAAATGAAAAAAAAAAAAAAGTTCTCGCGCATCACGCGATAAACTTGTTCATTTTCTTTTTACAAAAATTATACGTGGCCACTGTTGCGCGTCAAGATCCCGTGATTCGCCTTAATTGCCTACGAGTATAACATTCCCCTGC